GCAGCACCAGTGGGGCACAATATTGTTTCGTGTTATATCGACCCTCTACGCCTTGTAAATTCATCGTGCCACTTGCCCACAAAGGTGTGAGCTAAGCGAGAGATAACCCTGTAGATGAAATCTCTCCCTTGCTTCAGCTGGCTCGGTTCACAACTGCAGAGGTGGTATCACTGAGGTGAATGGCGAGGAGACTGGATTCTAACCTACCCGCCAGTAGCGGCCCCACCCATAGACGGTAGCCAATGGCGAGTGAATTGATGTCGCCTATCGTCCGATCGTCGTTCCCTTCCTCTTAATCGTGGTCCCTGGTCTATCGACCGTGCTTTCAGTCAACCCTCTCGCTTCTTCGCATTGTCCTCCAAAAACTGAATTGCAATCCAATTGAAAGGTGCAAAGCTTTAATTAAGACGTTTTAACACGTTTTCATTTGTTTTTTGGCACTATTTACCCTTTACTGCCCCAATCATCCGAAATCTGGCCACTTCTCGACCGACTTTTTTCTCCGTGAACGGAATTGGCTAAAAATTTGTCTCCTGGGGTAGTTTGACCTCCTGAACATGAATATCACATCCGCTCGGCATGAAACCTCCTGGCGCCCGCGCCACGAGGCATCCGGCGCCAAAATACACCAGACCACTCGCGCCTGTAACGCAGACGCCACGAGGTTTCGGGCCAATGTGATGCTCGTATTCAGGAGGTCAAACTACCCCAAGAGCCAAATCTGTACATAAAGAAAAAAAATCAGTCAAAAACTGGCTCGACCCGGATGACTGGGGCAGTAAGGGGTGAATAGTGCCGTATTTTTTCTCTAAAATGGTAAACCTATCAGCACACATACGACTCACTGCCGTAAGGCACCGTTGACATTTCCTCAGAGATGCAGCAATCGATAGGGATTATGTAAAGTAAAAGGAAGAGCGAAATGGCGTGATGGCGTAGCAATCCGGTAGTTTTTCAGGAAATGGGTCGCCAAGACGATTTGTGGTCGCTTTTTTATATGATCACTGAATTTCTGCAGGGACAATTACCATGGAGGAAAATCAAAGACAAAGATGAGGTAGGTATGAGGACCATTTCGCTACGAACTTCACGATGAGAATCAACTTCATTCAGGTGGGTCGAATGAAGGAAGATGTTGACTTGAATGTACTGCTGGACGACTGTCCAGGAGAATTGCATCAGTTCGCCGCCCATCTTCGTACCCTTTCCTATCCCGATTTACCCGATTACGAGTTGCTCGAGAGCCTGCTCATTCAGATCATTCGCAAGTGCGTCCGCTTTTTTCCTATGTTGAGGAATTTGGTGACGATTTTTGTGTGTTAAGGAATTCGTTCGGGATGGACGAACCATATGACTGGGAGCTCGGGTATGAGAATCTTTCGGGTCGAGGAAAGGCCAACGGTAACGTCTCAGCTCGTATGAAATCGCACACAACCGCTGTGATTCGAGATCAGCGCTATGAAGAGAAGAACAGGTGAGCTAATTGCAGAACAACTCCGACAGAGCTAGATAAAAAGGTGGCAGTTTTCCGATAAGTTCCATTGATTATTTTAGACAAGTCGTCTAGGAATGAGGGGGCCTTTTGAAGGACCACTTGCGCTGAGACGAGATTGCCTCGAAGACATATGGCACGATAATCTGGTACCGGTCTAAAACGCTAGCAAGTGCTACATAGTGTGGGGAAAATGGCTAAAAAGACGAAGTGAAACCGTTTGAAAACCTGCCAAAAAAAGCCTCTGCAACATACTGACTGAGACGCCTTTCTTGGAATAGGCACTGCGCAGCGCCTGACAAGGGGTGCGGAATTCCTTCCTGCCAAGCGTATTAATCCTTTTCGTCTTGGTCTTATCTTGCCAACTGCCTTCAGTGCGTTACCCCATTCTTCGATAGAAAAAATGTTCAACACACCCCAGGGTTCCTCTCCTGAGCTTAGAGGAAGTGAAATCACACAATTTCGGCTATACCAGTTTTCATGGAAAATCCTTCGAAACCCTCCTCCTAGCCGACTTGCGCCGATGTTTTCAAACATTTTAAGCCGTTGATACCTACCTATATGCTCACTTTATACTTGCCATGCTCTGCCAGTTTACATCCTTAAAAAAGTCTGAGGCACTTTCAAGTGTACACTTCTCTAAGGTCGTTTGCGAGTTCATTCTGAGAGGCTAATTTCAGGGCACTAGAGACTCAAGCGCCGATTACAATGGGTGAAGATGAGGACGAGCAGACGAACGGCCAATGTCCTCCGATCTTGCACCAAGGCGAAAGTGCTCACGAAAAACATGAAAAACCCAAGTACAAACGACACGAGTTTCTCAAGTGAGTGAGTCTGCTTGCAAAGCCTGCAAAGGGACAACGATTTATTGGAAGTTTGCTGTGAAATTCCCTTCTTCGTTTGCCGCCGCGACGAAATGGGAATCGATAAGCTGTTTTTCCTTCCAGCCCGAGCATCAATCATCCTCATGAGGAACTCCAAACCTTAAAGTGGTCCTTCACAAAAAGTGTGAAGAAGATCGAATATAATGACATCGGCTGCTTTTCCGTTTCCCGGGCGGTTCTGTTCAAGTAAGGGATGGTGCTTTCTAGTGACCACGGTAAGGGGAAATTGACTTTTCTCGCAGAAGTTTTAAACAATTCGAGGTCCAGGGGACAGTCGGCCGGACTCGCTCCTTAAATGAATGAATCCTGTTGCTGATTAGTTCACTACGGCCGCTCCCCGAACTGAGGCCCAACTAGTCAAGTTTTTCATCTTCCGCAACTAGTTAACTTGAAATGAGGGTGTGAAGAAAAGGATACCTCCTTGGATGAAGGCATAAAGGCCAATGCTTTCGCGTCTATCGATCACCTGTTTGGATACGCAGCGCATTCTACTCCAAACAAGAAGCTGTAATCCGCGGGGCAGATCCTTGGGGGGGGGGTCGTATTTGGTCGCTGTGAGAGGGAGTCGTGTTCGGGCTGGGGACGTGTAAAGGGGGGGGGGGTCGTATTTGCTCGTTGTCGGGAGTGGAGGGGGTCGTATTTCCCTTCTCGTCTTCTGAGAGAGAATCTGACTTTTGCGACTTTTCCTGGTTTTTCCTGTTTCATGTGTACTATACCCCCCCCCCCGCTCGACAGCAAAATTTTTGGGGAAAAGTAGGAAAATTTTCGGGAAATTCCGGAAAAAGTGGTAGGAGTTGGGGAAAATTCAAGGAATGGTAAAGAGGGGAGTCGTCTTTTCCTCGCGGTACCTCCCCCCTGCTCGAGATCTCGATGAGGAGGGCAACAGGGGGTCGTACCAACCTCCTAAAAAAGAGCAGGGTCGTAAGGACTGGACCAAAATCTCCTAGTAGATGCGCTCTGCTAATTTGTTTATACGATAACTGGCGGACTGCACGCAGCCGGGTCAGAGAATGAAAGGCTTCGTTGGTCCATGCGAGAGTCGATCTGGGTTTTGGACCGTGTACAGTCTTGCTCGCTGCGGATGCCGGGGCGTGCCAGGGAGGCTGGTTTCGGCGCGGCTCCAGAGTGTTTTGCTGTCGTTGTCGCTCGCTCGATTCAACAATGGGTGAAAGCGAGTTGACTTCGCGCCAAGCCCGAAACTTCTGACACTCCCTAGCATCCGCCGCAAACAATTCTTTACTCTGTGTGAGGTACCACCAGCCACTACACTAGCGAATAAAATCCTGTAGTCATATGCATTCATGTCCGGTATCTTACTCTCAAATCCACTTTGAATCTCAATCTACAATGTGTAAAGTTGAATATCATAACAAGGACGCATTACCGGTTGAGAATCCGGGACGTGGGGAGGAGCCATGTTTGGGTTTCTGAATTTTTTTCGTTCGTAGGTTTTTCCTGTCTCAGGCGGGCTATATATTATTCTCTTCGGCTGCAGCTTTCACCGATCGTGTTGCAACTTCTGGTGGAAAGTCGGAGGACTGCTTTCCACCCTCCTGACCGATGTGAGGGGTAGGGTAGTATTTTGAAAACTGAGAGGCCTGACTATCAGGGACCATCCTGGTGTTACGGCAATGAACCGGTGTGCGTTCCAACACTATGGCGCGTCGCTATTGTTGTCAAGCACGTAGCAGTAGTCCACTACTGCTAGTTGACTATCAAAACCTAATTAACCGAAAAAGTTGTTTTTGAACACATGACAATATGAGCTGCTCCTGGCAGTTCCGCCCATGCTTCATTACGACCAAGTAGCTTTACACCGTTGAAAATGGTCAGAGTGCTAAACGCACTCTGAACTGGTCGTCATTGCTGAGCACCGAAGGGCACAGACCAAGTACGAAAGACGACGGAGGGATGTGGAGGCTTCGCTCGTATCACCGGTGGGATGCGTTTAT